TTAGACGCGTGTCTAAAAGCGGGAACTGCTCTGGTGGTTTCCAGCAGAGTGGGTTCCAGAAGCACAGGGGAGTCAGGACGACACCACACGTGCGAAGGTGGCAGGGACACAGAAATTCTAACAGGAAGGGGTGCTGGACCCTAAGTGTACCTTCAGCCCACAGGTGCATCAGACTCAATCACCAAAGATCATCCTGCTGCTCCTTCTCTCCCACAAAACGAAAGCATCGTCTCTGCAACTCAGTAGATGCTCAGGGCGGAGCACTTCTCAATTCCAGTACCGGAACACTGGCATTAATTGAAAAACCAAACCTGGCCAGATCGGGCCTGGCACACCTTGGCCATTCCTCAATGCAGGCAATGGAAGAAACTCTCCATTGAAAATCTCCTCTCTCCCTTCCTCACACTGAATGAGAGTTCATCACTGCAGCCGCAAACGCACACCACCAGGGAGAGCAGAACACCAATAATGGAATCACTCTTTTTTTGCTTTTGTTTTTCCGTACTGAGGATTGAACCTATGGCCTCTGCGCTGGGATCCTATCACATTCCTTCTATGTCATTCCTGCCCCTTTCTTTTTGCTTTATTTTGAGACAGGTTCTTACAAAGTTGCTGAGCTGCCCCAACTGGGCTCAAACTTGCGATCCTCCTGCCTCAGCTTCCCTGAGTGCTGGAAATATAGGCGTGTGCTACCACACCCAGCTGGAATCACATTAATACTCTATAAATTTTAAAGCTAAATAGGAAGCTCCAGGGAATCGATTCCATGAAGTTTATGTAGGCAAATGCAAGACAATCTTGCCTATAGGGAGAAAAACCCAAAGCCACTGAGACTGAAAGGATGCTAGTCAAAGTAACTGATAATCTTTATTGAGTATCTGCTAAGTGCCAGGGCACTTTACATAGATTATCTCATTTAATTCTCATAGCAGCCCTGTAAAGTAGGTGCCATTGTCATCTCCACAAGAGATTAAATTCTTTGCCAAAGATCATATATGTAGCAAGTGGTGGCAGGGGGAGGACTTATGTCTGGGAAGCTTGACTTTAAACAGTGCTAATACCTTCACTCATTCATTCAATGATTGTGTGGAGCACTTCCTACATGCTAGGAGCTATTGGAGGTGCTAAAATACACCAGCAAACAATTCAAGTCCAAGCACGCGAAGCTTACATTCCAGCAGAGGAGGAAGACAGAAAGCTGGGCAGATGAATAAAACAAAAACTAAGTCAGACAGTGATCAGGGTTGAGGAAAAAACCAGAGCACAAAAGAGAAACAAGTGTGTGTGTGTGTCTGTCTGTGTCTTCTCAATGGTGTGATGCAAGATCTTGACCTTAAATAAAGAGCTGAGGAAGTCGAGGAACAAACCATCCTGAAACCTGAAAGAAAAGCCGGAACCGTACAAGGAAGAGCAGATTCAAAGCCCCTGGGGAGGAAGCTAGGGCAGGCTGTTATAGGAGAGCAAGAGGCCCATTGTGGCAACAGCCAAGTGAACACAGCCAGAGAGGATGGGGTCAGATTGGTCCACAGGACTGGACCCTGTAGACCTTCTGAGGGGCTATTACAGATTGGATCTTCAATGTCCCCCGGATGCCACGTGTGGAAGGCTTGGTCCCCAGCCTCTTGTGCTTTTTAGAGGAGGTGGAACTTTTAAGAGGTGGGGCCTAGTGGAAGAATGCTGGGCATGGGGCATGGCTTGAGGGGATATTGGGACCCTGGGCCCTTCCTCTCTGTGTCTTTGCTTCCTGGCCACCATGAGCTGAGCAACTGTGCTCTGCCCTGTGTTCCCCACCATGACATTCTGTCCTGCTACAGGCCCAATGCGACAGGGTCAAGCATCCATGAGCTGGGCTTGTGAGCCCAAGAAAATCTTTCTCCTTTATAAGGTTGTTTATTGGAGGTGTTTGTCATGATGGCAAAAAGCTGCCTAACACAGGGACTATTAAGGTTTGTCTTTTGCTCAAGTGCAAGGCAAGCGTTTGGGTTGGAGGAGGGGAGGGCTGTGACATGACCTACTTATAGAGAATTAGCCTCTCTACTCCGCTAGGAAGAGGCTGGGGAGGGACAAGCCAGCCTTTCAACACACTGCTGCAGTCTGCTGGGCACAGGTGAGGGTGGCTTGGGCTGGCGTGCAGCGGACATGTGACAAGCACTTCACTTTGAGCATATTGTGAAATCAGAGTGGAAGGACCAGCTGGCAGATGGCACGTGTGATGTGTGCAGAAGGGAGCAGGCAAGGATGACCCTATGGCTTTGGCCTGCACAACTGAAGGCTGGAATTCATGTTTTCAGAAACTGGGAAGCATGCAGGAAGAATGGCTTATTTTTTGTTTTGTTGTGTTTGTGGGTGCATGTGTGTATGTCTGAGACATAATGAGTGGCCATGTAGACCAGGCTGGGCTCAAATTCATGATCCTACTGCCTCAGCCTCCTGAATCCTGGAATTACAGGAGTATGTGTGGCATCATGCCTGGCTTGTTTTGGTTTTAAGGGTGGGAAAGGGTCATCAGGTCTCAATTTGGGAAGTATTGAATTGGAGACACCTAGCAGACATTCAGAAGGTGATGCTGAGGGGCAGGTCTGAAGCTCAGGGAAAGAGGCCCTTCAGGACTGCAGTTCTAAATGTCCCAAACCACACTTTGTTAGAATAACTGAGGACAATGACTCGTGTGATTTTGGAAAAATGATGACTACCAAAGTCCCTAGGAGAGTACCGAGGAAAGCCAAATGTAAGTGTTCACCCGTATCCTGGACCTTAGAGACAGCTGTTTCCCTTTCTCCACATTCCCTTCCGGTTTTGCCCACAAGCACCAAATAATTGCATAATATCGTAATCATAGCAAAGGTACAATTTCATGTTCTACTTTTTTTTTTTTTCACTTGACAGACGCCTATAGACATTTTCCCATGTGGCTCCTGTATATGTTTCTAGAATGTTTCAAAGGTAAACAAAATGCTGGGGGTTTCAGAGAAACATTCTAGAAGTCAGTCAAGAATCTTACCTTGGTACAAAGTTTGGTGTGCCCTACAGCTGCCATTGAGCTTACTGTCATGTCGGTGGCTAATGATTCTCTGTTGAGGTGACTTTGAGTTAGGCCCAGAATGAGGGCAGCTTGTCCTGGCTGAGCACAGCGGGAACCCTTAACAGCATCTACAGAGGCCTGGAGGAGGCGAAGGACAGCACAAAGAGAAGGGTTGCTGGGAGGTTCGTTACAACTGACAATTTGAATCTGATCTGTTCATTCATCTTAATCCAAAACGTAAGCCTAGTTTTTACAGACAAGACTAGTGGTATTCAGGAGAATCCTAAAAAGGGAAAATGACTTGTGCAGAATTATTCATTTATTTAGAGGTTTTAAATTGGCTCCACTGGCCCCACCAAAAAAACAAAACATGGCTCCACGCACGCGACTCATGGTTAGCGGAAAAATGCCCCATCTCGGACTCACCTGCCTATGGAAAGCAGGAAAATTACTGAGAAAAAAATCCAGCCAGGCTGGGAGCCAGCGCAAACTTCCTCCCAGAGCCGGCAGAGGGGGCCTTAGGCAAGCTTTGCGAGCCGCGCCTCCCCACACCCTCTCGCCTTCCTCGCCCAACTTCCCCGGAGCCACTGCTTCGACTAAAAATGACCATTGACATTTCAAGCTTTTGGGCAGTGATGCAATCGAATAATTCAAAGAAAAATGGTTATCGAAATTTTGGATCCTGTTTTCCCATGAGTGCTAATTTTTTTTTTTTTTTTTAAATAGGTCACACTTAAAGTAGGTCACGTTTCGGGGGCGGGTGTGCAGGCAGGGAGATGAGTTTCCACTAAGGCCAGGTGGCTTCCTACGGGGTGAGAGGTGAAGGTCCCGGGCAGGGTAAAGGTGCCGGGATCCTCCCCAATTCCGGGTCCTGGAGCGCCCCTTGTGCGGGGTGTGTGTGTGTGTGTGTGTGTCACAGCATCGAGCGCCCCCGGGCGGGAGCGCCGAGACGGCCTGGCACCACCCCGGCGCTAAGGTAAGGGCGCCTCCGGAGCAGGGGCACGGGTGAGCCGGGCGGGCGCGGGGTTCGGGCGGCGGACGGTGGAGCGGAGGGGAAGGGAGGAGCCGGCAGGGCTGCGGGGACGAGGCGAGCCGAGGCCGGCCGGAGGAGGACCGAGAGCGCCTTAAGGAGGCGCCTTTCTCCGCCCGGGCGCAGCCTCCGCCACCCGCTCGGGTCCCGGGGTGGGCGCTGCGCCCGCCACGCAGTGGCCTACCCTGGCCCCATCAGTGACTTGGGGCGGGAGGGCCGGCTTTCCGAGGACCTCAGCCTCTGCTGTCCCAGGCCGTGCGGCCCGCAGCGGGTGGGAAGGAGGGACCCCACCCCGCCGGCGGAGGGCGAGGACCGTCGCGGCTTGCTGGCCCCGGGAGCTCAGCCGACGGGGTAGGGGCCGGCAGCGGCCGCCAACACGGGGTGGGCGGTGGCCGGGAACTTCCCCCGCCGGGCCCCGGCACCCCGAGGTGCGGAGTCGGGGCAGGGCGGAGTCCCGGGGTGCACACCGCCGCCGCCGACTCCGCGCCCCGGCCCGGGTCCCAGGAAGCCTGCGCATTAGCACGGAGCCTCTTTAACGCGGTCGCGGGGGCTGCGGTCACGTGAGGCGGATTCCTGGAAAGTTCCTGGAAAGCGGCCTCCGCCGCGGCGGGGCGGGGCGGGGCGAGGCGCGCGCACTCGGCGGGGCGACCGGCGTTTAACTCTTCCCGAGTCTCGCAGCCGCCGCGCTCGCGGGCCCTGGGCTCTCCTCAAGCATGAGCCTCCCCGCCCGCCGCCACCGCCAGCACTGCGCGGGCCGCGGACCGTGCGCGCCGGGCCTCCGGGCGCGCAGCCTCAGGGTCACCGGAGCCCGGAGCGCGGGCGCCCGCGGCAGGTACCAGCGGGGGGAGTCCCGGGGCGGGGCCCCGGGATGGGGAGGGCGGCGGCCGCGGGCGCGGCGGGTTGCCCGGGCTTCCGCAGTTGGGGCGCCGGACGGAGTTAGAGTCACGGCTCAGCCCCGAGCCGAGCCGGGGACACCCTGCTCTCGCGGGTTCCTGCTCGGCGTCGGGAAGTCTCCGGAGTTTTTTGTCTTTTCCTCCCCGGAAAGATCTATAATCCTAATAACCTGATCTCCCGCCCCTCCCCGCCAGCCCGCCTCCGCCCTCGCCCCTTCCTCCCTCCCTCGCTCCTTCCCATCTCCACGGTCGCCGCCGAGGGGAAAACCGGCTGCCGCCCTGGTGGGGGTGTCCTAGCCGGGCGCAGGGAGCTGGGCGGAGGCAGTGATTCTCGGGGCTTTCGTTCGCCCGGTGCGCAGAGCGCAGGGCCGCTCGCATCCCTGGGCATCTCGTTCCCAAATTAAACGTCAGCGGGAACCCCGGGCGGACTCCCCTCCTCTCCCGGCTCTCCGCCCCCTGTCCGCCGGGGAGGCTGTGTGGCCCAGAGGCGGCGGCCGCCGGGGCTGAGGTAAGAGCTCGGCATTGGTCGTTTGCGCGCCCCGCCGTGCGCGCCGCTGCCCGCTCGGCCCCGGCCTCTCCCCGAGCTCCTGCGGGGGCTGCGCGCTCCGGCCGATTCCTCGACAGCGCCCGCGCCGGCCATAGCTGCAGCGGGTGCGGATCTGGGAGCCACCGTCTCGACGCGCGCGGGGTGGGGGGAAGCGAGGCAGTCTCCCGGGCCGGGATGGAAATGGGAGTTTGGGGAGCTGTTCTGTTCTTTTCCTTGTAGAAATGTTCTACTTGACCTTGACGAGGGCTTAGCCCCCACTACACTCGCAGGTGACTAACTGGCCTAGGCTGGGAGTTTGTGATTGCAGCCTGCAGCCTTGGGCGGGAAGACACCTCGCCCCCTATCCTGCCCCCACCCCCCGGTCTTGTGCCTTGGATCCCTCTCAGTTTTCATCCATCTTTCTCCAGAGCTGGGCCAGGGCCGTAACCGGATGCTTGGGGTTAAATCGTGCAGGAGCGCAGACTAGGCAGAGGAGTCCCTGGGATTTTTCACGTCTCCGTGTCCCCACCCCACCCCACCCCATCCACAGGGGTCCTGTTGGGACTGACCCAACCCCCACCTCACTTTCTCTTCGCAGGCGATCTGTGGGTGACCACATCTGCGGGAGACGTTACCATCCGTCCTCCAGGACTTGGGGAGAAAGAACCGGTAGCTCCGCATCCCCTCCCGCTCCGCCACCTTTTCGGACACCCCGCGGGCACTCGATTTGGGGTTCCATCTGACTTCCAGGAAGGAAGAGCTCCTCTGACTCCAGCTTCGGTGGCCACCTGTCTTTGCCGCGGTGACCCTTTTCCCATGACCCTGCGGTGCCTCGAGCCCTCCGGGAATGGTGCGGAAGGGGCGCACAGCCAGTGGGGGACCTCGGGGTCGGCCGAGGAGCCGTCCCCGGAGGCCGCGCGTCTGGCCAAGGCCCTGCGCGAGCTCGGCTACACAGGTAGGGAGCGGACGGGGCCGGACGGGTGCGGGCGGCGGGACGAGAAGATCGGGTTGGGAATGTCACGGACTTCGCATGTCTGCTTCAGCGCGGGGGACCACAGAGAGCGCTGCTTGTGCGCTCGGCCCCGATCCGTGGGAAATGGGAAAGGAAAGTGTTTCTCCAGGGACCTAGAGGCTAGGGGGAGGGCAGCGCGCGAGGGGGGCTTCTTGGACACTGCCTCTTCGGGCACTGGAAGTTGCACTGAGACGGGCGCTCGCTCGGGCTGGAAGCCAGGCTGGAGAAAGCGCCCGGCGCCTCCTTTCCTGCAGGGCGCACAGGCGGCGAGTGGGCGCCGCGCTCCCTGCAGCCCGGCTGCGTCCGGCTCCCGGGCGGGGCCGCCACTTCAGCCCGGGATCCTGGCACCGAGGGCAGGGATCAAGGGACGAGAGCCCCGCAGGGAAGCCTCCGCTCAGTGCAGCGCCCCGGGGACAGCTGGTTCAAGGGCAGCCCTGCGCCGCGCGCGGTTCGGCGTCGAAAAGGAAAGATCTTTGTAAAATAGCAGGACCATCGGGCTTTACAGATCTGGATCCTAAAGCTTGCGTTTGCGTTGAAGTTTCAGTAGCAATAGGCGGAGGGAAGAGGGAAAAGTTCCGCCCTAGGGGCTTCCGTCTTTGTTTTCGGGCCTCTGGCTTTCCCTTGGTGGAGAGGCCAGCCAATGACCGGTATCCCGGTAATTTTTTTCCGGGGCGGGGGTGGATGTCGGGGAAGCACATTGTTCAAACTTCTCCAATGCGCAATGTCTCTGAGTCATTTTTGAAAATGAGATGGGCCAGGGCGATGGCTGAGGCTGATTAAATGGAGACCAAATGTTGTGATTGAACTTGAATCAGGGCAAAGTCCTAGAGTTTAGCAAAGATTATAAACTTGAAGTACTAATGATCGGTTGGGGCTTCGAATTCTCAGTGAATAATGAAATGGTTGTAATCAGAGCAGTTAACAGAAGCTATTGTAGGAGAGCTTGGACTTTTAAAATAGAGCCTGCTGTTCGCAGATTCTTCTGGGGGTCTGTGTAAGGGAAGCACCCACTATCCAGAAAAGTTGCTTCTGATTTCACTCTACTGGAGTTAGGGTTTGCACTTTTATTTCTAACTTCCAATACATTTCTTATTTACTTAGTTTTTGTTTCAGTTAAACAGTGCTAAAAGTATAATGCTTTGTTAGTGTGTGTCATACTGCACGTTCTTTTGGCTCAGAAGAAAATCTTAAAGTAATTTAAAGAGGGCCTATAGAAAGTTACTTTAGAAAGAAAGAAACCAGATCATAGTTTGTGTTCATAAAATAAAGGGGACTCAAATTTTCATTGAAATGCCTACCAGAAATATTTGTGGTAGCCCCCTGTAAGCTCAGGCACATGTATTTTTTTTGTTTTTAGAGCTAGCAAAATTACTGCCAAGTATATACCCTGTTCTAAAAATTAGTAACTATTTTACCCTCTTTTCCTTTCTGAACAAAAATCCCAGGATGGTACTGGGGAAATATGACTGTTAATGAAGCCAAAGAGAAATTAAAAGAAGCACCAGAAGGAACTTTCTTGATTCGAGATAGTTCGCATTCAGGCTACCTGCTAACAATATCTGTTAAAACATCAGCTGGACCAACTAATCTGCGAATTGAGTACCAAGATGGGAAGTTCAGACTGGATTCTATCATATGTGTCAAGTCCAAGCTTAAACAGTTCGACAGTGTGGTTCACCTGATTGACTACTATGTCCAGATGTGTAAGGATAAGCGGACGGGCCCGGAAGCTCCCCGAAACGGGACCGTTCACCTTTACCTGACCAAACCGCTGTACACATCAGCACCCTCCCTGCAGCACCTCTGTCGACTCACCATTAACAAATGCACCGGTACTGTCTGGGGACTGCCTTTACCAACAAGACTCAAAGATTACTTGGAAGAATATAAATTCCAGGTGTAAGTGTTTCTCTTTTTCTAAACATGCCTCATTTAGAGTATCTCCGAATGCAGCTATGTAAAAGAGAACCAAAACTTGAGTGACTACTCTGGAACCCTGGACAGAATCCTTGCTAAGGACAGCTGAAGTCAATCTAATTTAAATGCATGAAGAGGCAGCTAGGTATTTAAAGTTCCCTTAGATATTTCCACCTACCTGAGCAATGCTTCCTTTTCTAAGGCTGATCAAGACCAATTGATCCATTTAAATTCAAAAAATAAAATGTCCCAAAGTAAAGGCCGAGGGAGTATTTTATCAGAATACCTTGCCTTTCAGAAGTTCCTTTGCAATAGGTCAAAGGTCTAAGTTCCAAGCTCCACACACCAGCAAAGAGCTCCTCAAAGAGCTCCCGGTGCAGTACTGAAGAAGGGAGCAAAATCAAGCTGACACAGGTGTGACTTCAGTTCTGAATGCCTGTGGGTCAGTCTGTCTTAGGACATTTTATATTTTACATTCTGATGTACCTAGGAATTTTGTTAAACAGATTGTGCTTGTGTTTATCCCTCATTTTATGCAATTAACCAAACCAACCAAAACAAGTAACCATGCAATCCTGTATTTGTCTTTTTACTACATGTATGAACTCTTTCCTGTGAATGAGTACTGTAGTAATCCACTTTAAGGGAGCCTTATTTCAGAAATATTTCAAACTGGTGCAAATGGAAAAGACATTCTCTTTTCCTTTAAGGCTAAAGACAAGAATGTCATGCTATACAGGTGCAATTCAATCCCTGTTCTTAGAAAACAATGTAGATATAGACGTTTTACCTTTTGAAGTAGCTGTGTCCCAAACTGTTGCCATCTATGTTTTGTGTTTTTTTTGGAAATGGCTTTAGAGATTTCCACGTTGTCCTTAAATTGTCTAACCAAGGACATCAGCAGTTATCTCCCTTCTACCATGACTTTGATTTAATTTTCTTCCGTTTATAGGGGGATATCTGCCTGTTTTTCAAAGTGTTTATTTACTGCTGTTACTATTTGATTAGAATATATTAAATAAAAGTAAGCCTGATTTACAAATTGCACTTATTACTTTGAATTGTAGAGAAATACACTTGCGTGGTAATAGAGAGCTGCCATAAAACCTGTGTCAAGTGACATAAGCCAAATATTCAGCAAAAAGTAGAACATAACTCGCCATGCTCTAAAGTGCAGGGCTGCACCCACCCTATGCATTTTGGAAAGCATGGTTTAGAAACTGCAAGAATTGCCACATGGCCTGGTCTTTTACAAGTTGAGTAGGCATAACGTTGAGGCCCTTTGTATTTCCAAAAATGTGATTTAGAATCTACAAAAATTGTGTCACAGCCTGGTCTTCTACAAGCTGAGTTGACACAATGCTAAATAAAAATTAGAAATTTGATGGCCACTTTCTCTTTTTGCCATGGTCTCATAACTGTTAGGAATGTACTATCTTTTCTGGAATCCAGACATGCATTTTGCCGCTTTTTCAGAATTGCCTGCCATGGCTAAATACTAGAACGTTTCATCAGAGAGGTGAACCTGGTATATTCCATATGTATCCTGAATGAAGAGAAAATTCAATTACAAATTATAGTAGACATTGATTCTCAATCTTACCTTATTTTCATGAAGAACTTGAAAATCACGTAAGTTTGTGCCTGTAAGGAGAAAAGAAAACATACTGTGCATGCAAACCGAAGAGCCAACCTGGGAAGACCGTTAGTTAAACTCTAAACTTAAAAGTTTATTGTAGCCCAAAATTTGAAGAAGAGCTGCACTTTCAGACTCTGGTCTGTGACAGGTGCTAAACTTTTCTTTAAGATATTCAGATTCTGTGCTCCTCCACCCCCACATTTGTCTAGTGTTGCATGTTTGTCTGGTAAAGCTTTCACAAGTGTCGTTGTAGGATTTCTTTAAAAGTCTTTTGCATTTCGGTTCTCATTGTTTGAAACTTTTGCATTTTCTTACTTTTTGGAACAGAGGAGGCAACAGCAGGACCCGAGTGAATACCTATGGGGTTATGGGAGGTTCCGCATGCTCGCTAGTGAGTGACTTAAAGCTGGAGGACAGTCCAGACTTCTCCAGAGTATGCCAGAAAACTGATTTCCTCATGTTTCAGTATCCTAAGTAAGTTGATACGCATCAGGAACCCATCTGTGTTTTTTTGGTTGGCTCATTTACAGTATCTTTTATTTATTGAGTTCATTTTGCACCAGGCTCTGACTTGGCATTTTACGTGCATTATCTTATTTAATCTTTGCAAGGACTCAGTGAGCAAAGTCCAGTATTATAGGAGGGGAATATTTCTGCATTGATTCGGATGAACAAGTTAAAGCAGGTTGTAAAAGGAACCCTCAGCCTTTACTGCTGCCTCCACCAGAGGAGTAGAGATAAATTAGTGCTGTACTCTGGGAATCTAGTCAACCAGGCTCCGTGTCTCCCCGCCACACACACTCCTGAAAGGGGAGCGCCTAGTAACTGGCATGAGAGTTGGTAGAGAGAGACTGACCCTTCCACTCGATGGCTGCTAAATGACTCCATTTGACAGCCCCGTTTTACATGGAGTGGAACAGAAAAGTTAAAATCCACACTTGTTTAAATGATTCTTAATTGAACTGGAAAGTACTCAGTGCAGGGCCATCTGGAGCATTAGTAAGGATCTTTATTATTGTTGACATTAGTGAAGAATGTCATGTACAGGATTTGTTATATCCCCACAGACTGAAATATTTTGATCAGAATTTCTGTTCCAAGCAGAGGTGAGGCAGTGGAGCTTTTTATTACCATTGCAGTGGGCACTGGCAACTGCTTTTTAAAATGCACAGATTTTTTTTAGGATTTTGAACTGGAGAAAAAGGCTACTTGACTTGTATGAGCGAAGAGTTCTTTTTTAGCATGTCCGTATGAAAGCTTTGACTTCACAGTAATTATGTAATTCAAATAGGTAACAGAATGGGACAGTTGTTTGGGTGTGTTTATTTTTTTGGCAAAGATTTTTCTCTGCTTTTAGAAAATTGCACCCAGTTAGGAGGGTAGGAGACAGAGATGTCATCCAGTAAGTAATCTGAGGCATGGAATGTTGGAGTTCAGGCTGTGCCCTTCAGGTTGTGGGTTTAGGCACAGAACAGGTGGGGGCTGTGGGTCTGTTGAGCTGGGCTGAGTGTTGCTCTCTGCCAGTGATGGCAAACCTATGGGACGCGTGCCACATCGGGCTGTTTGTATCATTGAAAGCTCTAAAAGTTTCACCATCACTGCTCTGGGCCTTTCATTTCCTAAAAGACCTGTATTTGCCTTTCCCAGTTTCTAACTTCCTACGATTTAAAGCTTGCAGCCACTATTAGCTCACATAGTTTAGTTCCTTTATTTTACTGAAGATGACCTCAGACTGGAAAGGTCAGGAAATTTGCACACTCACACACAGCCGGGCCAATCAGTGGCTGTCAGTGCTCAAACACACAGATCTCTTCACCTCAGGGTTAGCATTTGTAAAAGCTGCACACTTCTACCCTTTGTTACAGTCAGTCGTCAGTGCTCTTCTTTGCTGTGAGTCTCTCAGCATCACATTTTTCTTGTGGATTCAGAACCGGCTTTGCGAATACTGTGGTGAGACACTTCCAGGTCTGAGATCCTCCACCCCACCCTGAAGAATCGGCTGCTTTACTGGGTTTCATGATGTCTTGATCCACATGAGAATTTTGCACTAATTTTAATTCCTCAGCATTTCTGATCTGGTTGCTGTTTTAAAATCCAAGACCTCCTGCCCATGGTGTTTGATGATGTCATGATACCTCATGATGTGCCTGCCCATCCTGCTGCCCTCACAGGTGAAGCCTGGCCTGGGTTTTGCCTGCTCTTGGGCATGGTGAGTTCCTGCCTTACTTTCTCATTTTTGTTTCATAAAGTTGTTGCCCTTCTTTATCTCATCAGACAGCACTGCTGACAGAATTATGTACCAGTGAAAGAAGGGAATTATATTCTTCCTGAGTTGAGTAATTGATTCTGAATACCTGAAGATGAAATCTCTTGGTCCCTTTGGTTTCTTTAGGGTTTTGAAATAGCCAGCCCCAAATGGCACATTTTACCTGTTTTAAGGTGTCATAGAGACTCTTCTTCCCTAGGTTGTACTGCTGGAAAGAACAGAAATATCTTCTGTTTCTTGTCTGTGCATGAGAGTGACCCCTGTAGCTTTGGTTCACTTCGACACATGCATGTTTTTCTTTTCCAGTTTTTCCACTCTGGCTTGAGTTTTGGTTGTTTCACTTCACACTAAGGCAGAGTGACAGCTGCTGTCCCAAATGCCTAGAGAGTTCGTCAGCTGAGCTGCCTAGTAAAGCAGGGTGCCTGCTCCACCCCAGCCCTGTCCACAGGGCAGCTGGATGAGCCAGGGGCTATCAGAGGATGGGACACTTCAGTAAACATTTACTGAGCCGTAGAAATAAAACTGCTTTTATAGACAACTCTCACTTTGAACTCTTCACTTATAGAAAGTGCCTCGCCCTGGAGCAAGGAGGGGCCCATGTTGGGGTGGGTGACTGTGGTCCTCTTGGCTTTGCCTCAGACACAGAGCAGGGATGTCAAGCTGGAGTCTTGGAGAGTGAAGAAACTTTGCTAGCTCTTTCCTCTTCAGTCTAAGCATGAAAACCACCCAAAGAGTCCCTTTGCTATGATGCAACAAGTTTTTTCTTAGTTAAGCCCTCACCAAACTTAATAAATTTTCCTAGATCATCCCAGTTTCCAGCAGTGTTAAGATAAAAATTTATTTTTTGCTAAATGGTTTTGCCCTTCTGTGAATTTGGTATCCCTTTTCCTGTTTAGATTTTGGTTTAGAGTGCTGCTGTGATCTTTAACATTCTGAAAAATATTTTCCATGTTTTTTGACTCAGAGTTGTTTGATTTCCCAATTTAACATCTCTTCTGCCATTCTTTTCTTCTTTTTTTGCTTGAGATCAGTCTTGCTGTATCATTCCAGGCTATCCTCAAGCGCATGCCTTCTGCCATCTCTTTTTGGTTTTTTTGGTACTGGGAATTGAACTCAGGGACTCACATTTGCCAGGCAGATGCTGTACCACAGAGCTGCATTCCTGGCTTACTGTGCCCTTCTGCCATCTTTATGAACTTAACCCTTCTTAGGTTTCCAGCATAGCTTCTTTCTTGTTGTAGGTATTGGCCAATAGGTTTGGATAGAAACTGTGTTTGTGGTTTGCACATATGATTAGGTCATCTGCTCTCAGTTATCTTTAATAATAAAGGTTAGAGAGAATGGAATTATCGAAACCCATAAAAATATCTCCCCAATAGTTTCAACTTCCTTCCCATTCCGTCTCCATTGCTAGAGCCCCTGACCGAAAAACCAGATGCTTATTTGCCTTGTCCTTCCCATGATAAAGATGTTAATAAGCAACAAAGCGACAAAAAGATGTCAAGAGTGAGAAGAGGAAGGTGGTGGAGAGTCATGGGGGGTGGGGCTGAGGGCTCCCAGAGTCAGTCATTACACACTGGGAGAGATTTTGTGAGCTGACTCATTATGGGCAAATTATTGGGTAGATTGAACCAGCCTTAGTGTAAATATTTACATCACAGAAATTGGCAAATGCTACAAGTCAGTAAGGCTTCTTTTTTTTTTTTTTTTTTTTCTCCTTTCTCCTGGCTAGCTGGGTAAACAACAGCACTGCTTTAGATATTAAATTCTCAGTAGAGTTCACTACAGTAAGATCAATTTATTTTTAACAAGCCTAGTGTTTAGAGCAGAAAGGAATGAACAATCTGAGGAACACATTTTTTTTTTTTTAATGTGTGTCAATACTGTATTGGGCTAATTCCCTTCTATGGTGGATCAGGGAGTCTTGTTTAAGTGTCTTTGCTTGTTACTCGGTGGTATCCGCAGGTATCTTTTCAGAGTTTATTAGTTGGGAAGAACTGGACATTTACAAAGTCACACAGCAGGATTCGCACCCACACTTAGCTCTAATACATGAGGATCTCTTTTGCTTCTGGCTCTTTTCATTCCATGACTTTCTTCCCTTACTTCCCACTTGCTTTCCTCTCCCCCTCCTCTC